TAGGTCCTCAAGTGCTGCCCTTTGACTGAATCCAAACTTCACAGAACAAATCCCCTTAATAGAAAGATTTGTCCTGTAAAATTTGGACTCAGTCAAAAGACCGCACCCAAGGACCTAGGAGGCCACATGTGGTCTCATCGCCGAAGGTTCCCCACCCCTGCTTTGGGTTGATGCTCCAAGCCTTTCCTGATGAGAAGGACCTTGAAGAACCCAGGCTTCCCTCCATATCATGATGAGCTATAGAGAATGACTTCAGTGAGCGTCTGCTAATGACAACCCTGCGAGGTGGGTAGTACAGGTTTTATATTCCTCATTTGAGGTAAACTGAAGCCCAGAAAAATTAAGTCTCTGGTCCCATATCAGAGAATCTCAGATGTAGAAGGGATCCTTGAGCTCATCTGGTCTAATCCTTCCCTGACCAGGCTTATCTTCTACAAAATCCCTTACTGTGAAGTCTGGAGGTGTTTAAGACATATACTTAGCAGCTCGATCAGTGGCATGGCTAGGGTTGGAATCCAAGTTGTCTCATTCTAAATCCAGAGCTCTTTCTACTATACCACACAACTTTGTGAACTTGAGCGAGTCTCACCATCCCCAGGCCACTATTTTCTCCTTTGTCCATATTAAAGATGTTGGTCTGGATAATTTCTTAAGGCCTTTTTAACTCTTAACATTCTATTCTGTTGCCTCTGTTGTGTTTGCACATTTGGTTCAGTGGATCACTCAGAGCCTGAGAATTTAGATCCACAATTCCTTTGATAAAAACATATCCAACAACCCTTAGGGTAAAAGCAGTCCAGGAATGTAAAAGCAGGTAACAACAGCTAGGAAGTCAAAAGCAGTCTCAAGGAACTCCCTGGAGTCTTCTCCCCTGCCAAAATCTTAAAACAGTTTTGATATCCTCTGTGCCCAAGGCCTGGGCCCCAGATCCATCCACCTTGAGGCACAGTTATAATTTTTTTTCAGAGTTATTAAAAATTATTTGTGCATAATATTAAAAAGTTATTCAGGAGCAGCTATATCACTGATGCAGTTGGTAAAGAGCTGAACCTGGGATCAGGAAGACCTGAGTTCAAATTTAGACTCAGACACTTATTAGCTGAGTGACCTTGTAAAGTCACTTAACCTCTGTTTGCTTCTGTTTCTTCAACTGTAAAATGGAGATGATAATAATACCTATCTCCCAGGGTTGTTTTGAGAATCAAATGAGATAAAACACTTAGCACAGTGCTTGGAACATAGTAGGTGCTATATAAATGCTAGCTATTATTATTATTATTATGAATTATATTATGATTGTTATTATGTGAACTGTCCCAGATCTACCCAAACAACTTTTGACTCACAATCGCCCTGGTTGGTGATGTGTAAGTGTGGGGTAAACTTAAGTTTCCTCAGTTCTACTAGTTTCTCCTGGCCTGCAATATCTATGAACCTGCTGAGAACCAACTACAGTTAGACTAGAGTCTTAGGCAAAAAATAAAAATAAAAACAAAACCCTACTTCTCATAGTATCATAGATTTAGAACTGTCCTCCTTGCTGGATTTTAAGTAGAGACTCAGGGGAATTGTGATTTGTGCATAGTAAGGGGGATGTCACTTCTTTTCCAATGAAGTCAAGTCAACCACCAATGACCACCATGCTTCACCATAAGACCCAGAGCAGACCTAATCAGCATCCTGTTATTTGCTCATTTTGCATATTCAGGACATAGTGGAGATGCAGATCAATAATCCCCTGGCTGGTTGTCCCAGGCCCTGTGACTTCTAAGAGTTAATTATGAGCTTCAGAGATCAAAGTCTAGAAGTTTTGATATAGTGGAAGCAGGGATGGGGCTGCATCCTTCCACATTCTGCTCCTTTTCAAATCTCACTGGAGACATCAATGCAGAGTACACATCCATGATCTATAAAATGAGAATGTTGGACTATTAGCAAAATGTAGTTGAAAGAATGATGAATTTGGAGTTAGAAGACATAGGTTCAAACCCTGATTTTACCACTTAATAAGAGAGTGACCTCAGACAAGTCACTTTCAATTAAATTCAACAAGCATTTATTAAATGCTTGTTTCATGCCAGGTACTGCACTAGGTGCTTGTTATATACAGAGGCAAAAGTGAAAACAATCTCTGCCCTCAAGTGGCTTTTATTTTATCAAGAGGAAACAATATGTACAAAGATAAGTAAATACAAAATATAATTCTGGTGATGTTAGGGAAACACAAACTGGAGAGAAGGTCCTTGTAAAGGTGGCAGCAGTTGAGCTAGAGATTTAAAAAGGTAGAGAGGAGGAGGGAGAGAGTTCTGGATGTGGACTGGAGAGGGGTGGGCCCCAGAGGGTTTGAACACTGTGAATTGTAGGATAATGGGAAAGGCAAGTGGGTCAGTTTGACTGGAATGTAAAGTATATGAAGGGGAATAAACCTGGGATCTGTGTTGGGCTGAGGTTGTAAGGCTAGAACCAGGGATAAAGCTAGTTATTAGGGAAGGTGCGGGCACGCACACACGTGAATGTGTATGTATGTGTGTGTGCACACACAAATAAGCGTTTACATGTGTACATGTGTTTGTGGTGGGCAGAGTGTGGAGTCAGGTCCAAGCTCTGACCTGCTTGTTGGAATGTGTTTCATACATAGTTCTGTAGGAGGGGGCCTGATGGAATTATTTTGCTCATGCTAGAGCTTCCTAGAGCTAGGACTAAACTTTCCTAATCTCAAATGTATGGATTAATTTCTATTTAAAAACTACTCCACACCTCCACTTCCTATCCCAGAAGATTCTGCTTTGGACCCTTGTGTATCATAACTTTTATTTCTAGAAAGTCCTTCTACCTTCTTCCTGTTGCAATATCACCTCAGTTCCTCCATTCCTATCCTTCGTGGGGATTAGGAGTCATGGGGGCCCCTCTTTTGTAGTGATTCATAAAGAATGTCATAGGACTTTAGAGCTGGCATAGACTTTTGAGATCATTTAGCTTTAGCCCTCTTACTTTATATATGAGAAAACAAGACCATCAAGATGAATTGACTTGTCCAAAGGCACATGAGTAGTGAGCTGGGACTAGGATTTAGGTATCTGGAGTCCTAGGTTCCAGCCTTAACCTTTTCTCACAGAATAACCCTCGCCCCTTGAGCAATTTCCCTTAGTCCTGGCTTCTCTGACTTTCTATCCATGGCCTTCTGTAGCTTTGAATGCTGAGACTGGGCTGTGAATTGGACCAGAACTGGATGTAATTGAGAGAGATGTATCATGGTCCTAATCCTGATTCATTATACTTCTGTGTGCCTGCCCCCCTGTTGTGCTCTTGTGTGTGTACTGAGTGTACATGCACATGTGCCCTATATTTGTTTTGTCTTGGGGATCAGGTGGCCAAGCACTGTCCAATCTGAATGGCCCAATATGAATGGGGCAGGGTCCGTTACTCCATTGAGTTTTGGCCAGCACTGCCTGTATGCCTCCAGCCTCAAAGGCTGCTTTCCCTTCTTAG